AGCCTACTATTTTTATGATTTCATATATGTATAGGAGATGTTTGTAATATTTGTATCATTTCATATTTTTTTAAATTCTTTTTTCTTAATAGAGGCGAAAGTAAATAAACTGTTACATTTTAACAATATGTGTCTTAATGTGTAAAAAAAATGTATATAGCGCTAACATTTTTACTATAATATTTTATATTCTAGGGGTATATATATAATCTTGTGATTAACTATAGATGTGTATTTCTGTGTATATCCACATTGTGCATGCATGTGTTTTTAATACACGTGTTATGTTTAAATTACTTAATATATGTTTATTTATTTGTTTATGCTTCAAATTCAGGAAACAATTTTAACTGATGAACTTTTTTCTTAAAGAATATATTTCACATGTAATACTTACCAAACCTTCATCAACAATATTACTATGTTCACCAAGTGCTAACTTAATACTAAGTTTACAAAATTCTGCATTTCCCGCAATTGCTAAATATTCTTTATCCATATTTCTACTTCTAATTCTTTCTTCTGCCTATAATATATTTGATTCAGTTAGATTAATGTGAAAAAGTAGAAATATATATATTTCCCAAACATAATTGCTTTATAATATATACCATTCGTACACTTGGCAAAATAAATGGTTTAGTTTCATCATCTCGATAAGCACCAACTCCTAAATTAACTTTATTTGGATGTGTATCTGCTTTAAATCTTTCTGTAAGACTGAAAATTGGGTCTGGTGGACCCATTTCTATCTGAGACCACCATGAACTATAACACACAAAATATTTTAATATTAATTAATTTCAATTAAAGTAAATCTTAAGAGAAAAAAAAATAAATTATAAATCAGTAAATATTAATAAATTATATAGTAAATTTAAAGTTTTTAAGCATTTTAATTAAGTTAGTTATCTTATCTATCTTATGCTTCTTCTTGAGAAATTCCTGATCATTAATAATAAATTCTATGATTATTAATAATTTTAAATAATTTTTAAACTATATAATTTATAACTATAAATTTATAATATAATAAAAGGTTAAAAAGTTCAATTAATTTTTTAATATAAACTTACCTTATTGATCTAACATTGCTGTTATTTTTAAATAATTTGCATGCAAATGGAAGTCTAAATAGTTTTTTACTTTGTGCCATATTAATATTAATATGTTAGAATACACTACATTCACCGTATGGATTACTTTAAATTACAGATATACTTATACTTCAATAGTTTGCTGATTTGATGTACAATATACAGATGCTTATTGTCTATATAGGGTGTTCCATAAATTTGTGCCCACCAAAATGTAGCCCGTAAATAAAAATAGGGAAAAATTTGATATGAATGCTTTATCAAAAAATTGTAACAACTGATAATAATAAAAAATGAAGTATGAGAAAAATGATAACAGTCTTATTTTTATCGTAGTACAAAGTATGAATAAATAAATAATGTCTATATTTCATATTGATACAAATTGATTTACTAAATTAAAATTTCATTTGTTAAATAAATTCAATAGTTTATACTCCATTAATGAAATATACTCCATTTTTATTAATAAAAGCCTAATATTATTCCATTGTTACGTATTTAGCAGTTATTTAAGAATCTGCCTCAAGTTGGTTGGTGCACGTAAAGCGCTAATCCTGATAGTAATATGCGCAAAAATTTAAGAGAACTACTACGATGTAAAGTTATTACTTATTATAACTTAATTATCTTGAGTTGTTGAATTTCTACTACTTTTTTGTATGAACTCTGTTGTAACTGTTCTTTCCAATCGTGGTCCTCCTTTTATTTTGTCATAGGCCAATAGTAACTTAGATTCTGTCCCATTCATCGATGACGATTCATCTTTCGATTTCACTTAAATAACAAGCTTTTGTAACATAGGTATACTCCGTTGTTGGACCTAGGAATATGTTACAAGGAAGAAATATGTAGAATCTGAATAAAGAGAAAGAGAAGACAACAATAATTTATGTCCCCCTTACAACACAAGATCAAGTAGAGTATTTTCTAAGAACCATGTGTGATTTAGTCTAAACTGCTAATTTGTTACGTTTATCATTTCCTGCCTTTTTGTAATCCTTACTGTGATAACTTACATAATATAGAGATAATATACACACATAATATACATACTTAAATAATATAGAGATATATCTCATATTTTATATACGTACATATGTTGGATATTCATATCGTGAATTTTGGTGTAGCTGAAAGAATGAACAAAAGATTACAATAACAAATGACATTGATTAACTGTTATAATTATAAATTATCATTGATTGCTATTTGTAATCGCTCGTTAATTTGTATATTTACATATTTGTTGCTGAAACATAGAACATTTGCTTTTTAACAATATAGATATTAGAATTAGATTTTTATGAATATTTTTTTCCAATTCATCATAAATTCCATTCAAGTATTGGAAAGTTCAAATCTGAGATCACAAATTCGCGCGTTCAATTTATATTTTAAAAAGACAACTTCATATTTATTGACTATGTTTACTCCATGAAGTTTTCAAATAACGCTGTTTTAATGTATTTCTATTTCTGTCTTTCAATCTGTTATCTAAGAAATGAAATTGATATTTGTGTTAGCGTTATCTAACTTACCAACTATGTATGTAAATTAAACGATAGTGAACATATACGTTACGTATGTATATAACACGCAACTAAAAAGAATAGAAATCAGTTATATTTGTACCAATGTATTATTTTTGGATAAAACTCATTGTTAAACATTCATAGGAAATTGACTTATTATTAAATTATTAAATATTTTCGCAAAATTAATGATGACTTGAGCATGCAAATCTCCAGTTTCACGATAATCTTATAAAACTTAACAAGTTTAAGATAAGGTTTTATTTTCATTTTTCATTACTGATCTGCTATTAAAACTTTTAAAAATAACATGTCTAGCTTATATGTTTTGAGTATATGGGAACAAGAATAATTACATACGAACAAAATTATTTGATGAGAAATGCAAATGCAAATACCTTTAATTCAAGATGAAAAAACAAATTCATCTTGGTCAAGGTAATTAATCTATATTAAGACATTATGAAAATAATTTAAAAGAATCTTTGAATCTTTTTACAAGATTATTTTTGATGTTTGGCAATATAAGCTAAAATTATGAAGTAAATTTTAGGAAGGAGAGACAAAAATGGTTTCTATCATTATTATGTGGTACTTGTCTCATATATGCTACAAGAACATCTGTTCCTTTATTAATGCCAATTATAAGTAAAGAGAAACAATGGTCCAAACCAGATTCTGGAGTAATATTGTCTAGTTTTTTTTGGGGTTATACATTAACGCAAGTTGCTAGTGGTTATATTAGCGATAGAATTGGAGGACAAAAAGTATTATTGATCTCTGCTCTTGGATGGTCTATGACAACATTTTTTATGCCAGAAGTCATAGAACTCTTTTCAAAGGATGATACTTCTGTGTTATTAGTAGCAGTAGTGAGAACGATAAATGGTGCATTCCAAGGTATTCTTATGAAATTACTAACATAAATAGCTAAAGTATGTAAAAGATGTTTGTTCTTTATATATATATATATTTATATATATATAAATTGCATATATTACAGGAATGCATTTCCCCAGTATGATTAGTTTAATAAGTCAACGATTGCACGAAACAGAAAGAGCCTCATTTTTTAGTTTATTAACATCAGGATCCGCTCTTGGCACATTGCTCACTGGATCTTTAGGTTCCTATCTGTTGGAAAATTATAACTGGGTAGTAGTTTTCCAAACATTAGGTATATAAATGTATAATTATGTGTTATTTACACTAATATTAACAACCTTATTAATAAATTCACAGTGTGATTTAATTATACAAAAATATCTAATTTGTTATCTTAGGAGGTTTGAGCTTGGCATGGGCCGTGCTATTAAGTTACCATACCCTACCTTTTAAGGAAAAAGCAGCTTCTACTAAATCAGCTACTAACTACTCTTTGCCTTGGTTGAAGCTTTTAAAAAAACCTCCATTCTGGTAATCATTGTGCATGGGATCAATTTGAATTCAGTTATCATAAGTCACACAATTTCTGACACAAATCTTAATATAAAAAGTATATAAAGTTATATGGATTTATAAAAATATTATGATTACAAATTTATAGATGTATAAAGTTCACATATTAACTGTTATTTTCAGGTCATGTGTAATAGGTCATGCTTGTCAAAATAATTGTTTTTTTGTATTACTATCCTGGATGCCAATGTATTTTCATGATACATTTCCAGAAGTAAAGGTAATTAATTATTAGGTTGTCTTAAAAGTTTCTTTTGTTGTTTTATAAGGAAATAATAAATACACAACATTTTTTGTTTTATATTACTTTATTGAATCTTTAAACAAAATGGATCATACATAATTAAATAAAATTTTATAGCATTAGTTATGTAACATATTAAAAATTCTCTTTGTTATATTTAGGGCTGGGTTGTAAACATGGTGCCATGGTTGTCTATGTTGCCTTGTACATTTTTTGGTAAAGCACTTTCTGAGAAGATAATAAAAGCAGGGTATTCCATCACAGTAACACGTAAAATAATCGAAACAATATGTTTTTTAACTGAAATTATAAGCTTATTATTTTTAGGTAAGTATAGGTATGTATAATAATGTATGAAAAAATTAAATAGTGAAATTGATTTTAAAACAATTTCAGCAAAAGTGGAAACTTTTCAAAGTGCAATAATTTGTCTTGCGTTTATAATTGGCGGGTCAGGTTTTCATAATAATGCAATTGCAGTAAATCCTTCAGATCTTGCACCAAAACATTCCGGAAGTGTATTTGGATTAATGAACACTGTTGGTGCTATACCTGGTATATATAATCATAAATTTACTATTGCAGTAATAGGAAAGATGATAGTAAAAAAGGTAATTTTCAGGATTTCTTGGAGTATACTTTTCTGGATATATATTACATGTAACGCACAGCTGGCCTGTTGTATTTATATTCATTGCTATAATAGATGCATTAGGATGTATAGTATATTTATTATTTGGTTCTGGTCAAGCAATTATATAAAATGACATCCAATTTATTGTTCTTTCAGTTTATTGTGAATACACCCTATCCTTAAAATTCGGTACAATTGTGTAAATTTTAATTATCTACGAATAAAACAATAACATTAATTAAGTTGTGTCAATATTGCGAGAAGTTTCGATAGTAATACAAAAAAACATTCGTGCATGGTTTATATGTATATCGGTTAACTGATAATTTGATTTTATTTAAAATTCCATATTATTTTATACATGTTACGTTTAATTAATCATACTTATAAAAATTTTAAATATAGTAAATATCAATAATATAAATTTAAAAGGTTAGCACTGATTCAATATAAAATCATACCTAATGAAGGAATATAATAATAATGATTAAACGCGATATCTATGATATGTCTATGTATGATTTTTCAGAGTATAATACCAAAACATAACCGATTATAATTTCTAGAACGATAATTTTCTACCAATCGTTACACAATATTTTACAGAAATAAATGTTACCGTATTACGTCAAATAGTGAAATGTTCTTTTAATTGACGATGAATAAAAACGTAGCCAATGTGATGGTTAGTAAGTATATGCGATTGCCACCTACATGAAAATGCCTCTTTATCAGAGATTGGAGCAGCAAGTGCCTGATGCCTTTTTTAACGCGAGCATGTGAACGGATCTCGAGACTCGACTTTTCGACTTGGAACATCTCGTGAGAATTAATGTACGCAGTAGAGACAATTGCAGAGGTGGAATTTTATTTTTAACGGGACGACCGTGTACTTGTTTACGCGAGGTTTTTGATGAACGTGTGAGTTGTCCGTTGACGCTTGTCGTTTTCACCGATCATTCGGTCGTGCCTGCCTCTGCCTGCTGCCGCGAATGTGGATACTTCATAGTGTGCTGTACTGCTGCTGCCGCCGCTGTGCGTTTGAAGTGCTCCCTACGGCTGATCGCCTTTGGATTTTAAGTCCTTCACATTCGTGAACGCTTTGAAACTGGTTCGTTATTGTACCAGACCCCGCCGTGATTGTCACTTGATAGCAACACCCGAGGCGCCAAAGCTGTCCGCATCGGCGCTTTCTTTAGCCCAAGTGGTATCAATGTTGTCTGGCAATGGTGTGTAAGGAGAACGTGGTATCATGGTTTGGGAATCTGTCCAGGTAATAGAAATATTATCAGTTTCTTCCCTAACTAATGCCATATTCTCCTTGTTCGGAAATGGATTGTTATAGTTCTTTTATTCATAGCGCTTCTTTTCGTTTTCAACTATGACCTCTTCATCCTTACCAAATTTCGAACTAACCAAAAAGAACATTCCGCAATTTCATCTTAATTTTATGTCAGAAATTAACATGAATGTATTGATAAATAAGAAATTATATGGATATTGATTTTCATTAATGTTTAATTTACCCTATTATCGATATATCACTTTTCTGTTTATTATACAGGAGTACCAAGTATGGTAGCAACTGTTTTCCTCTAATTTCGTGTGTATTCAAGATATTATAATGAATTAATAATTAAATCTTCTTATATATATTTATCTTAAAATGATAAAATACTACATATATTTCATATTGTTATCAACAGTAGCATCATTTACTTTTCCTGTTGAATATGGATGTTAATAAAATCTTATAAAGCATATTATTAAAAATCTATATATTAAATACCATATTATAATAGATTGCGTGTATACTTTAATAAGGATTATAATCATATAGGCTGTAATTAAATTGTTATTCTGATACAATTTTATAATTTAGTTAATTATAGTTATAATAATGTTGAATAATCAATATTAATTTATTATATCATTTTATTAGATTATTTCTAACAAATAATATAATTGTCATTTTTATGAGAGAAAGTTTTAAAAGAATTATATATTTTAGCATTTTACGTATAAATATAAACAGTATAAATTATAAAATACTACAATTTAAAATTAATATATTTTCATTCACAGATAAAAAGTTATTCAGAATTAATTATTTTTGTTGATATTTTTGATAATATTCTATAACAATATCCAATCATTTTCATTAACTATATACTTTTATGTTGATATTGCATAAATATATTTTTATATTTTTTAAGATATCAGTTACTTACTCAAAACTATTTCATGCTCATGACAAATATTTTATTACAAATAAAGAAAGAAATATTTGTGATTAGTTCATTATTATAAAAAAATATATTTCTATGTGTGCAGTTATAAACGCATCGATGTCATGTGCACGTTACTAAACATGTGCCTGCCGTTTGAAGTACGATACCTTGGCACTTGTGTAGAGGATATTGGTAAACGGGACTACAATGATCTCCGTGACACGGAACATCATGCAAACAGTGCCACTGATCTTGCCGAGTTAACAACCTTAGGTGTGGCAGATAAACGCACACGAAGGAAACTTGCGCTCTACATGGCATTATTACATTCTTGTAATTATGCATGTGCTGTAATCTTGTACAAGAATTTGTCAAATTTTGATTACCAAGAAATCTCTAACCTATTAAATGGGACCACCTTTACACCGGATGATCAACCACTTGAAGAACTGCTCTTATTGTATACAATGGCTTTAAATCATCCAGCATTTACATATGAGCAGAAAAGTGTCTTCGGTAACATTTACATAAAGCTTCAAGAAGAAGAAGCTCGTCTGAATCTTTCAAAGTTAAATTCATCTTACAAACAAACACAAGTATGTATAATCTTCGTGTGTTGAATGCATTTATTTATTTATGTAATTTGTAATCTAACTAGTATTCTAAATATTGTCTAAATATTTCATAATAAACTAAATGTTAATTTATATCTGTTTTAACAATAGGGTTGCGCGCCATGTATGAATACAAACGAAAGATTAATAGACACAGAGATGCAAGGCAGTTGTATGATGGCTCCACCGCCAATGCAAACTTATCATGGTAGTTTATAATATGATATATGCGTACATATATGTATAATATATATGAATATTAATATTTTTTTACATTATCTGTAGGAGAAATGACAATGAGAAATAATACCATGGTAACCGGTGTTCCCCCTGGTCTTTCCATGCCTCCACCTGGATTATGCCTGCCAACTCCAGAACAAATGCCAATGGGATCAGGTGGTGCAACACAGTACCTTCACCTTGGCTTTCCATCAGTAAATCACATGCCACCATGGACAGGTCAGGTTATGATGGGGAATCAGCTGATGTATCACACTGGCGACATGTTGGCTTATCCACCTTCCCCCTTAGTCAGCCGTCAATCGTCACCATCCCAGTCTCGATCTCCTAGTCGCAGTAATTCCCCAATGGGTCGCAGAAATAATACAATGCCGCGCACCTCTTCACAAGTGACTCAGTCTACTTCGAATACCTTGACATCAACGAGTGCCTCTAACAGTCAAACAAGCATCTGCAGCTCAAATGCCAATTCCCTTCCACCACTTCCCACATTGGGTACGAACAGAAGTCATCCTAGTCAACCTCCATTGCTTCCATCACGCTCTGTTCCCTTGTCTATCAGCAGTTCTACTACTTTTTCACGACATAATAGCGTCGAGAATACTCCTTCTACCTTAATTCCGGCAGCACCTCAATCAAAACAACCTCCACCACCACGACTGCGATCTTCAATTTCTGGTGATTCATTACGAGAAACGTTAGGAAAAGAAATGCCAAATTTCAAAGGCAACTTGCAGAATTTTTCTCTCGACGAGGTGAGATAGTAAAGTTTTAAAATAGTTTATAATCACATAAAATATTTCATAATAAATTTTACTTTATATTTAGTATAAATATATAATAGAATATGTATGTACATTAATAAACATGATAATATGTGATATATTGTGCAGATCCGAAGAATGAGTGATGAGGACTTGAGAGAAATAGGATTAACACAAAATGCAGTAGGGCAATTACGAAGTATAGTTAAGAGTCAAACTACTAACGGCTTAAATCAAATTTCTACTGATAAAAAATTAGATAGTACTAGCAGCACAACACACACAGTTGTAGATTCAGTTGAAAATGAGGTAATAATTAATAATCTATACTTGATATATATCAATATATTGTTAACTTTCATTTAATCAGTGAAGGAAAATAGATGCATAACATAAAATTTTTATTCAGGCTATACCGGGAATGGAGATGTTGAATGATAATGGAAATCAAAGCAGTAAGTCAATGCCGTTACAGGAACAGCATCCAGCGATGCATCATCATCATAATCATGCAGCTACACCTAATTTACGGCGATATCCTATGCCACCGTTAGATCCTACGCAAATACAAATGTATCCTGCTCCGCCACCGATGTATGCTGCACAAAATGCACCATGCTATGCCTGTCTTACATTACCTGTCGCCGGGGTACAAAATCGATATTCAAGGTAGGAAAGAAAGTGTACAATTATTAACATTTATCAAAGTTGATTTTTGAATTTTGAATTAACGATGTTAAAATATTTTAGGTGCAATGCTCAACACGTATATTGTTTAACACAATTACAAGCCTTGAGGTTAGATCCTGAAAACAGCAGGCATTGTTCACAGAGTAGTAGTTCTGATAGTACTGGTAGTAGATCTCCGCCAGAGACTCCTCCGGCAGCACCGTGGGTGAGCGGCAGTGAGAGCAATCCACCGCCAGTTACTGATCATCTTAGTTCTGCACCGGTACATTCTACAAGTGCAGTATCACATCCAGTATCCCAACAACCTATACAATCGGGCCCGGAAAGGCAACGTACTAGAAGAAATCAGACACATGTAATGCGTCATAAAAATCAAATGGTGAATGGCGGTGGGCCACCGAATCTTTCACAATGCGTTTCCTTTCCCACGCCACCTTCGCAGTCGCAGGTCACGTATCTGCCGCATGGTCATTTTCCGGCTTTGAGACCGAGTAGTGGTATTTATTCTAACTTCTCACATGGACCGTATGCAAGACCAGCTTATCCGACCACGTACCAACCGAATGGTGAAATGATGTACCAATATCCTGGACATCCATCCTCAGGAGGAACACCACCACCTCCACCGAATGCAGCCGCGACACCTGTTCAGGCACCGTATATGCCACCTACTCCGATTGTTACATATGCACCAGCTGCCGTCCCACCAACGAAAATTTCGTGCTATAATTGTGGCAGTAGTAGTCATCTTGCAGTTGACTGTAAAGATCAAACCATGGAAGATCTTACCAAAAAAGGTAACTTAAAATTTATACTTTTATGTAGAATGTCACTGTTTATAATTATACGCAAATAAAAGATGGGTAATGTACATAGGTCTTTTGCGATAAATAATATTTTTTCTCTTATTTTTACTTTCAGCTCAATACCGCTTAGATTACAGTATAATGAAACAACCTGGAGAGTGCCCAAATTCTGACAAGTGATCCCCTGCCGCGGACCATCCAGCAATTTATCATTATCATCATTACCGTAATTATTGTCACCATCACTGTCATTACTACTGTTACTACGATGCCGCCACAGCAATACAACCTAAATACCGTTCAAAAGATGACTGCTATCGCTCCTCATGCAAGTTTTCGGTGATTTTTGTAGACATCCCTTATATTCAGGATGACGATTTTTTAACCGAGGAAGTTTCGCGATTTGCGGTACCAGGTATACTTTTTACAAGTTCTTATTTATGATAGTAATTCTTAATTATGTAAAAAGATGTCGCGTCATGTACAAAGAGAAAACTGGGAGAAGCATAACGCAGAATGCTCTTATCTATGTTTTTAGAATACATTTTGAAAGGTTTGTGTTAGGTACTGACTCGTGTCTTACCAATGATACGTATGGACTACATATAAACACATATACATACATTCACACACACATTCACAGCACGCCTCAACCCAATTTCTCACTATTTCTCTAGTAACTAGCCATAAACGAAATACAAGAAAAAAGAACGCATTGTGCTCTGATTAGATGAAACTACCATGTTTGACTATATTTATCATTGATACTTTTACTTCTACTAGTACATTTACTATCACTATTACTACTATTACTATTAAACTATTACTATTACTTCTATTATCGCTACTGAGCCACATTTTTATGTATACATATTTTCTCAATTCTTACGTGCGCAATGTTTGAACGAGTGCAAAAGTGAATGATGACAACAGAGTAAAAAAAGATAAGATAAAAAGAGTAAAGGATGAATGCACATAAGAAAGAGAGAGAAAAGAAAACAGGAAAGAAGAAAAAAGGAAGAATGAAAGAACAACAAACCATAAGTGTTCGATCGTCTAGCTGCCTTTGCGCTCCTGTGTGTATAAAACTATAAATATACGCCGCTCATCACTCATTTATTAACTTATGAATAGTTAGTTAAATAACAATAATTCTCATCCTATTTATATAAATAGTCATGCAATCACGTGCAACTTAAGCAATTTTATACGAGTTTTATTGATCGCCCATCTTTTTTAAGTGTAAGCAATGCGTTATATACGTTTAAAATCTCGTTAGTAAGTAATAAACAAAAGAAAGAATAACGACTTGAATATGTACTAGTGTTAGGTATGAGTGGAGTGGCAATCTGCGTTGAACTCATCTTGTCAACAAGTTGCTACTGCATTTAAACCAATTCTTAATTAAACAAACACCGTTAGTGAGTGTCGATCTAATTCTATTAAAGTGTATAATTTGGTAAATCTTTGTCTAGTTCCCATACTTACGATGACTTATAATTTTTAATCGTAAGACTCTCATACTATGCATCTGATCTATATGAAATAGATCCTAGATATTTAAAATAGTAAGGACTGAAAAGATATAAAAACGAGTGAGAGTGAGTTTGATATGTGTGATTTTAAATACACATGCATTTAAAAACTTCCTTTCAGTAGCTTCTGGATATAAAGAATTCTCAGGTGTCTTTTTTTTTTTGGTTAGTAATGAATTATTTGGCAGCTAGTCAATAGCCACAAACATTTTGGGATTAATATTTTAGAGCTGTTATTTTGCAGTGATAAAAATTTGAAAAGAAGAGACAGTTCAGAGTTGATGATTTTCATGTTACCTTTGAATCTGATTTAACAATTTTATTAAGATGATGATAACTTGCCCTAATGGTATTGTTTTCACATATTATTGTATATAAAGTGAAAGTCGTTTTTTATTTCTAAACAATACTTTATTCAAATTCCAAAGAAAGCCAAAAATTAGTTGGGAAAAGTCAAAAAAATATTATTCATACTATATATATATTATAATCTTCAAACTTCTGTCAATTTTTTATAAGAAATTCGACTGTGTCGTAATTACTAGAGTCTGATTCGGTGTTTAGGTAACATTTATTAAAAGTGCCATTTTTGTTGAAACACCCAGTGTCTTCATACCGGTCTATTAAAAAAAAAAAAAAATAAAGGTTGAGGTTTGTCTTGCCGTTAGCATTAGTCAATGATGATTTTTAAAAACTACCTGAGAAAAGTTTCGAAGTGGCTGTGACTGATGAAGAGTGTGTAAAATTCATATTAAAGCTCTATGAATATTTTTTTTTAATTCCATAATACAAAATAATCGAATCCTGGTATTCGCGAGTACTTTGTTTTTGAATTAATATCAGTTGTAATTGGCAGGTATTGCCCAAGCCAGATTTATGAAACACAAACAAACACATTTTTCTATTTTACATTTTAAATACAGATATGTTGCTTGACAAGAGCAAAAGAAAAATAGCGCAAAAATTTCGTGTGTTTGTATGTGATTCGTCTACGAAACAAAGGAGTCTGAGTTTACAACATATATTTAACAAAAATATTGTAAATCTCTCAATTGAATTTTTCTGATAAGGTCATCATTTGAGTCATAAATTTGAAATTTTCGTTCGCGGACAAATTTCGTTTTCGAAATTAAATATATTATTGAACTATTTTTAAATATAGGTCCAAATGAATGTGTTTGCATCTTGCTAAATAATAACAATTCATTGTTGACCAAATGGTATTATAGTCACGATTAGTCGTGCTAGAAGCAGAAGCAATAGTATTATAATTATTAAAATATAACACTTTATTGCTGTTTACTAACTGTTGACATTGATAATCAAGGGAATATGTTTTAGTATATCTCAGATGTATGTGTCATTGGCAATAAGATGAATGCGATATTTTTTCTCTTAACTGTTAAGCAATACTTCTTAGCATAACAACAGTACATGTTTTTAAAAGTGAATATTGTATAGTATTAGTGTTGTAAGCAGCAATAAGGGAGTTCTGTAATTTTGTTGCTAATCTGCAATTATATATAAAAGAGAAGGATCGTTTTAGCAATAATGTCATATTTAATGACATAATATATTACGTAGTTATTTAACAAAAAATTCTATTATAAAGAATGTAACCAAGGAATTGTCGTTTTCATTGCATCGACTACATTCATTTTAATGTATTTCATCAGTTTGATATGTTCGGTTGAAGCGATTGAAAATTTTATGGAAAATATGTATCTCCTAATTTTTGTTCTTATTTGAATTTTCTTAAGAATATTGTTGTTGATAATAATTAATCATCGTCGTGGAATGGTAAGGAATTAGTTTCATTAGCTATATCATTGTAGGAGGCTGTCTGCTTTGAATCAAGACTCCTTTGTTTAACAAGTACCGTTAAGTACGCATTTAAATTAATGAAACATGTACATAAGTGGCAGAAAGAAACCACTAAAAAAATTGTGCTTGATGCAATAAGTGCGTTATGTTGTTCAAGTTTGAAAAAAAGTTCAAATGCTCTTGATCAAATCAGTATTATACGGAAAAGAATCAAAAAGTCAAAGAATCATATCACTTGAACAGAAGCCGTAGAGCAAGAGCGTGAGAGATTAGTAGTAGTAATTACAATAAAACGATAATATTAGTATTAATTATAATAATTATATTAATGATAAATTATATGTATATATATTATATATTATATATGTGTATATATTATATATAATATATATATATGTGTATATATATATATATATATATATATATATATTACTACATATATATATATATAAATAATAGAGATGTAAACTTTCTGGAAAGATTTGATCATTTTTCAAATGAGAACTCCTTTTGTTTTTAGGAAATGCAGACAAATATTTAAAAAAAAGGGAAAAACGAAGGAAAAAAAAGTTAAAAAAACAAAAACGGCAAAAACATTGACTCGGATATTGTTGTACATCTTTAATACGTAATTTTGGTTGTTTTCTATAATAATTATTATCTCATACTTTAATTCTTAGTTTCAGCAATAACTGTTTGTGTTACTAATCTCTATTAGCACTTCTAGCTACTGTTCCTAGGTGTGTTTCTTTTCGCTTCAGTTAGAACTCATGATTATCTTTTCTCTTTCCTATACGAGTTGATTGATGAAATTAGACTAATGGTAACAATAAATTATAAAGTACAAGTAATTAGCCATCTTATATTATGAAAAGCAGTTCAAACGTCTCAAAGCTTGCGTTTCTGGTATATTAAAAAAAAAAATGCAACACGTATATTTCATATCGTAATGAAATTTTAAAAAAACTTTCTCGACACTTTACATCTCTAATGTTAATTGAATAAAATAGGTTGTACTCAAGTGGAATTATAAAAAGTGAAAAAAGAATGTAAAAAAAGACTAGAGCCATGTGTATCTTTTTTTTGTCAAATATTTTTGGACATACAGGGGTGTAATTGGGCAGCGGTTAAGATTGTACAGAGAAAGTTAACAGAGGAGGTAGAAATGAAAAAAAATCTAACGAAATACACATACAGGTACATCTATTGTACAAACAGAAATACCCACATATACGTGTATATGCAGACATATATCAAGATACCGTCGGCATAGTGACTTAAAAAGCGCTTACAATTACGATGTATGTACATTTGCTGCGTTTTGTGACCGATGCTCGTTATACAATAATGTTTGCATGAGGTGATCGATGATTCGAAAAGTTTGCCCGACTACCGAGACTTACGAAGACAATACGTGCTTTGGACGAGAACGAAAATAAAATATAAAAAGTAAAAAAAAAAAAGTGGATAGAAAAATAGCGTGAAACACAAAACGCGATACATTATGGATGAGAGTTGCCATTTCAAAGAAATAGGAACGAGAAAAAGACGGAAATTGTGAAAAAATGAATCAAGCGGGGTAAAGCGTGCTGCTTAACGGTTAATGTATAAGTGTAATTATTATTATTTAAAGAAGAATACAAAGAAATAGAAAAATACAAAAAAATTTAGGAGGCATTCTGTGCAAAAGTGAAACTCATTCGGTTTTTGTAGTCGGTCGCTGATGTGAAAGGATCAAATTTTTCGACAAGTAATACTGTTATTGTGGTACCATAAAAAGTGTAATGGGTCAAAACACACAAAAAAACAACAAATTTGAAAATGAAAAAAAATCTGTACGAGGGTGTGTGCCGCTCTACGTCATGTACATAAGAATCGGTGCGAAAGAGGAAGAATGTATGATACGTAAGTATGTATGATATATAGTGTGATAGGGGAAAGAAGATTTACATACAAATATGTGATGTGTATATACACATTATATATATACATACATATATGGAAATATTGAGATATATTTGTAAATTCTGTTATTTGAATGCATTATAAATATTTTAACCTCCTGTAATGAAATATTTAATAAAAAACGTTACCAACCAATCCGTCTACACTTTTAGCCGTTGTGTTTAGGATACGAGCGTCTTATGAAATTGTACTTTCATTTATATGCGATAGTACAAAGAAAAGCTGTGTAAATAGACACGCTTCTGTAGAGCAGTTACGATTACTTTGCGATATTACCGACAATTATTATCAAATTTGTAACTCTTTGAACAGTAACATTGTTTAATACACATGATTTCTTTACTAACATGCGATTATAAGACACGATAGGACGTAATGCCATTTGTAAATAAATCGAGAAACTGGTTAAAGTATACTCTTAGTCTATTCTGAAAAATGTGATGAGAATCTAGCATTTAATTATAGATGCACCGCTTAATTTGTTTGTATAAAGTATAATATAGTTTAAATTCAGATTCGATTGAATAGTACAAGATACGCCAAGATTATTATTTTAAAAGATACGTTGAAGTAAACTTTATAAAAATGTTGCTTTTTTATATACATACATACATTTCTTGAGACTTCTATATAATGTTCACACAGCAGGAGCGAATCCACAAAAAAAAGAAATAAAAAGAAAGAATCTAATTGTAAAAGGTCTAAATCTTTCTTAGAAAGTTAAACGAAGTGATCCGATGCATTGCATTTGCCGGATGGGTAATATATAACGATAATTACATATTGTGTGCTGTAGACAAAAATTATAGTAATTTGTAATACAAATGAATTGAAGTAAATAAAAATAAATTAAATGTATTTTTTAATGTCGTTAAAAGTAAAACTAATAAAATATTCCGCATAATAATTATTAAATAACTAACGATTCAAGTTGTTTTGATAACCTACATTTGTTTCATTGCAAAACATTATTTTTACAGCTTGCCGTGTTTGTGCAATCGAAGAGCGAATATAATAAGCAATTTTGTTCTTTTAACAACATATTTTGTTCTTTTCTATTTAAATATTATGACCACCTATTTAAATTACGATTGATAAAAGGTAGAAAATTCGTATGAATATACGTACATACGTATGTTGGATTTCTTTGCTGAAATTTGTTAAATTCGACATTTCCAGTACAATCGATCCACAGGACTTCCGTTATGTAAGAATGTGCATGTATGGTAAACTAAGCGGTATAGATACCGCATTATAGTTCTACATAAAATAGATTTTTATTTATTTTGCGTTACGTAGACATTTTTACTATTATGTTTTCATATCCTTGATTTTTCCATATTAGGACAAACTTTTGTAAAACTATGTAAATGGATTAAATGAGGCACTACAAACGATAATAACAGAAAAAATTAGATCAATTTTATCTAGGGACGTATATCTTATATTGAATGTAATTCGTGCAATATGTTTGTGTTAAGGTTTTATTATAAGCATATCGTAACGAATGATTTCATATATATATATATATATAATATATATCGTAATAAATGATTTGTTTCAGTTATAATAATACTTAATATGCTTGTATCCATTACGCGTTATCGACATCTACACGGATGTGGTGTGGCGCATCCGGAGAAGTTCGTTAAATTATTACACAAGATCCTGCATATGTTGTGATATGAATTAATTGAATAAACGATACTGGAAAAATGTTTTGTTCGAATAATGAATACATAATTCCATTATACGTATGTATGTTCCCCGCAGATACATAATCCGCGTGTTGTAGAACGATGTCAGATATCCTTGACTTTAACTACTATTTCGGCATGTGATCGAATCGAA